TTCAAACCACTGTGATATCACATGGCTGCAGACAGGGGGAACATTCTGCCTGATGGCATCCTCACAAGGAAGTGATGTACAGTCCAGTACAGTCATGCATCAAAAGTCAGGGGACTAACTGCAGGCTAGCTTTAGAAATGAGTAGATGAAATCTTGAAATAGGGCATCTCAATACAAATGACCAAGCTGTACAAAGAGTAACCCTCTCCTCTCTCTTTTTTATTGTTATAAACCACTGAAGAAAAATTATGCTGAATCAGTTTTAAGATGTATTAGGCCTGATGTAAGATGTATTATGTACTGGCCTGGTGGGATGAGAGCTTCTGTGGTGGATAAAACAAGCAAACACAATATAGAATCAGTTAATGCATAACATGTAATGTGAGACAGAATGACTGGGTTATACTTATGTAACTGCAGCAAAGGCATTGACCTATTATTCTTTAGAAATGCACTCTGAGGGGAAGTTGGGACAGTCTTCCTGTTGTTCAGAACATCTTGCAAGGTGTTCCCAACAAAGAAGTGAGACTAAGGGTTGACGCAATTGGGGGAACAATGACGAGAAGCGACAGATGGGAATAAAGTTAGCAACAGAGTTGGTCAGGCACGTGTGCGTGAAGACCCGGGAAAAAAAGAGGACGTGGGGCAGATGACCTGACATCCTCTGCAGAGACTAAGACTAAAAACCAACAAGGTGATCCTGTCTCCCATGCACAATCATATTTCAATAATATTGTTCAATAAATGATTCTTGGCACTGCAATAATTTTCTCTGTGCATTGATTCTACCCAAGACAGACAATTGGTGTTGTTGGCCATAGGTAGGAGCTGACCAGAGAGGCCCGGCTCCTAGCAGCGGCTTCCTGGGCACAGAGCTGGCTTTTCACAAGTGGCCACTGAAAAAAGTTGCCTTTTTCGTATAATTGATGAATTACTCTCTCTGTGCTGGGGAGTTGCTGTGTGGGTGCCAGTAGGTTTTAAAGATGAGTTTTTTGTCTAAACTAATCTCTGGCTGGCTCTCCCTCAAGTATCTGTGTGGGGGAAATGAGGGCTGGAAAATAGGATCACCGTTACTGACGTTGACATATGACCTATTAACACTTTGTAAATAAGTAACTGTGTGTGATTGTGCTGTTTATGGTTGTTGTTTTAAGGAATACAAAAGAGTAATACAGCCTATTGGGTTCCAAAGGTATAAGTTATCACACATCAGTTGGGCAGAGCTAAAATATGAGCTGGAAATATGTCTGTGGTTGATTACAAATTTAGGGTAAGACTGTAAAGCAAAGTCTGTGCTGTGTTGTGGGTTCTACAGCTGGTTGGCACTCAAAGATTAGTCAACAAGGTTGAATACTCTAAAATATTGTTGTACGTTGACAAGTGAAATTATTGAAGTTTCTGTAGATGTCATGATCCTGCCCCACTGGCTTCTGGTTCCCTGCTTTTACTCTGAAAATACTTCCTGTCCCCAGCTCACCCTGGCTCTCAGAAACTTTACCTCATCACTCTAAAGTGCCTTCACCTGCTGTTTAATCACTCACACCTGCTCACCTCAGTATATAGCAGCTCCTCACCTTGTGTGACCAGAGACCCTGCCTGATCCTTACTATTGAACTGCTACGCCGGCTGTTGACAACCTGCCTGGACTACTGACCTGTGATTCTGCCTTGTCCTCTCTGCCTGTTAGACTGTTTCTCCTGCTCCTGAGCTCTCCCATGCAGACAATTAAACTTCACTCTGTTGTCTCCAAGTACTGGCCTTTTAATCGGGTCCACCCCTCTACGTTAACGGAAGCTGCACATGCCACTCCCTGACTGTAGAAGCAGACAGACATTGCGTCCTCACAGTTAAGGTCAGGCTCCAAAGTAATTTAGAGTATTTCATGGTCAGAGACAAGTAAAACTAACCTGTATAGGTTTTGACCTGTATAAGTTAGAAATTGTAACTGCAAGGTGCATGGGAACAGAGCCAAGTGATCTGGACCTGATCAGTGGAGATATAGGCTCTGTGTGTCATGCGGTTTTGTTGGCCAACTATAGAGAAATCCCACTTAAAAGCGCTTTATAAACTATTTAAAAGTCCAGACTTAATTAAATGTGTGGTTAAATATATGCCTGTCTATTGAGATATATTCTTCTAGTATATTGAGAGAATTATGAGTGTGCAGGGTCAGATTGAGTGTGCTGTTGAGAATACATGTATATTGCCTCATGTTTTATGAAATGTGAAAGTGTGCTCAAGACAAATATATAGTGTGTTATATTGAAGGTTTATACAGGCTGAACATATACTGAATACATATTGTGTTATACTACATTGTTCGGGTGTGGTCCGCTCTTTGTGTGTGTGTGTGTGTGTGTGTGTGTGTGTGTGTGTGTGTGTGTGTGCTGCTCACTCCTTGGATGGGTTTCCACTGTGTGTGTGCCTGAATGCGAGTATTTTATTTTTGTATGTAGAGGCGCGTGCAGGTGGTGTGTAGTCAACAATGTGCCCAGCCTTGCAGAGCTGAAAGCTCTGACATGTGCATGTGAACTTGCTGAAGGCAAGTGGGCTAATGTGTATACCGATTCAGCCTTTGCTCATGGTGTTTGTCATCTGTTTGGTTCAGCATGAAAAGGAAGAGGCTTCAAGAAAGCTGATGGTTCACCTGTGTTGCACTGGGACCAAATCAAGAAGCTGTTAACAGCAATGATGAAGCCTAAAGCCCTCGCTATCATCAAGTGTGCCGCTAATGGTGAAAGATGATTCAGTGGTCACACAAGGATATGCAGCTGTTGACCAAGCAGCAAAAAGTGTTGCCTCTGCAGGTGAGAAAGCCATTGTGGTTGTGCATGACACAGAGGCAGAGGAACAAATAACCCTCAAGGACTTGCCCTGGCTGCAGGATGAAGTTCCAGAAGCTGAATCTCAGCTATGGGTTCAGAGAGGAGCAGTCAGAGATAGTGAAGGAGTGTGGAGGAACCATGAGGGGCTACTCGTGGCTCCCAGTGGTTTGCTGTCTCTGTTGATAAATGAGGCTTATGGGTTGAGCCATGAGTCAAGAGGTGAGGTGTTGCGGAGGATAAGAGAGTGGAATTTTTGGGCTCCAAAGCTGCAACAACATGTGGATGGAGTCTTAAGTCATTGTGAGACATGTCTGAAGTGCAATATTCAACAAGGCATGGTTCCCCCTGCAGAGCACCTCCTGATTCCAGAAGGCCCATTCATGCACTTGGACTTTGTGGACATTGTTAGACCAGTGCAGGGCAAACAATACATACTTGTGGTTATAGGCCGGCTCAGCAGATGGCCAGAGGCCATGCCTGCTAAACATAAAAATGCAGAGACAGTGGCTAAGTTTGTATGGAAGTTTGTCCAAGATTTGACTTGCCCATTAAAATCAGTTCAGATAATGGGAAAGTATTTGTGGAAAAGACATTGACGTGTGTGTTGCAAAAACTAGGGAACAAGCAATGTTATGGAAGTGTGTATTGTCCAACTTCATAGTCTGACATTGAGAGATGCAATGGGATCCTGAAAAACAAATTACTTAAGATTTGCATGAGCACTGGGTTAAATTGGATAGATGCTTTGCCGCTAGCGCTCATGGCATGCAGAGCGAGCACTCACAGAACGCTGGGGCGAACACCACATGAGGCTTTGTTTGGCCGGGCGATGCCTTTGCCAGTCTACAGAGCAGTGAAAGGTCCATTTTTGGATATTTTCACAAATAGCATGAGATCATATGTGAAGCAAATGGCTAACATATACAGGAGTATCTCCTCCCATGTTGTTTTTCTACAGGCTAGTGAGGTCCAGGAGGACGAAGAGCCCAAAGTGAAACCTGGAGACTTAATGTATGTTAAAGTGTTTAGGAGAAAGTGGGACTTTCCTCGAAGAGAGGGTCCATATGAGGTGGTCAGCGCAACTGCCCGTGCAGTGCAAGTGAAAGGTTCACCTACGTGGTATCATCTGAACCACTGTGTGAAGGTCCCTGAGGACACGGACAGTTCAGAGCCGGAAGTGGTGCCAAAGGAGGAAAATGAACATCATCTGGAGCAGCAGCCAGTGTCTGAGGAGGGGAGTGAGCTTGATACTCCTCCTGATAATGATGCTGGTCATGATCCAGCTGTGCTCCCATCCTTTTGACTCTCCAGAGGAGGGAGAGCAAGGGAGAGGTGATGGAGCTGTGGTAATAAGTAAAAGGGCCGCAGCTAGGAAATGGCCAGGTGTGCAAGAGTGGACATTGAATGACAAACACTGGAGGTATACGGAAAACAATACTTCGGTTGCGCAGATATCCAAGCAACCCTGGACTTCAAACACTAGACTTAGACACTTTCAGTTTCTATGTACACTCCGATCAAATACCCGGAAGACGTGTTTGTGGAATCGAGTGGATTTCTGGATGGTGGACCAGCAGACCCCCTGTCTCTTGGGGACCAGATCAGTGTTCTATCAGAGTGAGG